AAAAATCGGCAGTGTATCAAATACTTATTTGCCCCACTGTAACTGGTAGAATTAAAAGTTTGAATCATGCAATTATGACTTTTTTCGTAGAATTGCGAGATGAAATCTCACAATTATGACTTTTTTGTAGAAGTACAACCCATAGGAATAATGTATTGCTTTTCCTAAGCTCGGGAGACTTAGATGAGATTCTCATATATCTCTCATTTTAGTATCCACAGCATTTCAGATGTTTCTCCTAAAATTCCTTCAGGAGAAATGGAAGTAGACACAAATGAGACATGAGAAATATCTGAGAGAAAAAGAGTCAAAACTGAGAATGGGGTGGAAGAAACATAACATATCTCTTTATTGTCTTGCTGCAATCTCTATCAAGACTCCATTATAGGAATATTTTATTGCTCAGTGGTTGCTCTTTCTAAACTCAGGAGACGTAGTTGCGATTCTCGTGTATTTCTCTTTTTAGTCTCAACAGAGTCTCAGAATCCTTAAGAGAAATAAAAGTAGACACAACTGAGACATGAGAAAGTTCTGAAAGAAAGGAATCCAAAATGACAATGGGAGAGAAACGTGTGAGATCTTTATTGTCTTGCAAGAATCCATTATAAACATGTTTTACTGCTCAGAGGTTGCTGTTGCATTTTTTATTGCAATGGTGTTTTTCACCTTTAATGGTCAGGACAGTAGGAGTAGAGTCAGGAGACGATTGGACGGGTGAGAAGGGAACAGAAGCAAGAAAGTACCTTTAGCTGGGATTCAAACCCGTGTTGTTTGAGTGCTTCACGTCGATGTGCTGTCCACAAGGCTATAGCTCTGACAGATATCACTCTTCGCTCAGGATACTAAGGGATGATTCTCTTATACGTCTCACTGAGATATCAGCTTTGTCTTAAGATGTCTTCAGTTTTATTTTAGGAGAAACGTTAAACGTTTACTAATATTGTAAATACTAAAACTATCATTTAAATAGCATTAAACATTTCAGAATATCAATATTACTATTACTAATATTACTAGTTTAAATGTATCTTCAATGTCCAGCATTGTATACGCCACACTAGAAAGGAGTTACAAGTGCAAGATGTTTAGTATAAGAGCAATACCTTTTTTAACAAATGTAACACTAGTGTACCAGCTTTTTGTGGCTTTGTTTAGTATTAAAAAGTTGTCTTGTACAGCACATTTTTGCATGCATGTAAATATAGGTTATGGTCTCCTCTGTTAAAACACTGTGCAATAAAACACTGTCTACATAAAACAACTTCAAATATGACAATGCATGTATTGACTTTGATGGAAATGGTGTAGATAAATGACATTGAAGCTAGCCAGAGGGAAGAAAAATAAAATAAAAGAGATCATTTTACCATTTCAAATATTTCTCCTAGACAGAAATGAGGTTACCTTAAGATTGAATGGAAACTTTTGCTTGACACTCTCACAATGGTCTACTTTAAAGCTTTACAAGAGATCTCAACAACATCACACACTGTATTCAGATATTTCTCCTTAGCTAACAGATACTGTATCTCTCACATTTGTCTCTTTTAAAGCTTCAGAAGAGGTCTCAACAACATCACACAGCGTGCTCAGATATTTCTCCTACACTAAAGACTCGAGAGCTCTCACATTTGTCTCTTTTAAATTTCAGAAGTGATCTCAATAACTTTACAAAGTGTGCACCAAGTCAAATGCCTCACTATGAGCGCAAACATTTCTTCCATATAATATGCATTAATAATCAAATTAGTCAATTAATAATCAAGACTGAGTCATAAGCCATTGATGTGCCTTTCAGCAAACAAAGCTCCAGGGTTACATTTTCTGTAGATCAGTTTTGATTACTATTTCCAACAACAAATTATGTGCCTAAGTACATAAACATTGTCCTATAAAAAGTAACATTATCCTTATTTTTGCATAATTTCTCTCTCAATATAGCCTTTAACTCTGAATTTATGACTTGATGCACACTTTGTAAAGTTGTTGAGAGCTCTTCTAAAGCATTACAGGAGACAAATATGAGACCCCCAGGTTATTTAGCTAAAGAGAAAAATCTGAGCACAGTGTGATGTTGTTGAGATCTCTTCTGAAGCTTTAAAGGAGAGCATTGTGAGATTGTTAGAGTTTTTGTCTCAGGAGACAAGTTTGAGAAGCAGGAGACTCGAGCAAAAATCTCTGTTCGATCTTAAATAAAGTAACCTCATTTCTGTCAAGGAGAAATATTTGAGATGTTAAACAGATCTCACTTTTGATTTTTCTTTCCTATGGGAAGTTTAAATCTCACAATTCTGCCATTTTCGTAGAATTGCAATTAAATCTCGTAATTTTAAGTTTAAGTCTCGCAATTCTGAGTTTAAATCTCACAATTCTGACTTTTTTTGTAGAATTACAAGTTTAAATCTCACAATTCTGACTTTTTTGTAGAATTACAAGTTTAAATCTCGCAATTCTGAGTTTTTCGTAGAATTTTTGTAGAAGTTTAAATCTCGAAATTCTGAATTTTTCATACAAGTACAAGTTTAACTATCACTATTCTGACTTTTTTCATAGAATTTCATGTTTATATCTCACAATTCTGAGTTTTTTTCATAGAATTGGAAGTTTAAATATCGCAATTCTGAGTTTGTCTTACAATTCTGTCTTTTTTCATAGAATTTCATGTTTATATCTCACAATTCACAATTCTCACAATGCATAAGTTTTTTTTTGCACTTGTAACATACGAAGATTGCTAGCATGTAATCCTTTTCTTCGATACACAGTGAATGAATTTCAAGTGTAGAATTTTTTATTTTATTTTTTTTACTCTTTTTGGAGGAATTTGTAACATGGAATCATCCTCTACTATCCTCTACTTTTCTCTTTCTTTCTCTCTTTTTTTTATTTTAGAAAGGTGCTTTCAAGTGAACCTGCATGTCTTCATATATCCTTCATGGTGTCTTCTGCTGTGAGTTGCATGACCGTGTATTGTTTTTCGTCTGGTCAGATCTGGACGAGCCTTTGGTGACCGTTCATCAGAGTATTGGTGAAGCTAAAGAGCAGTTCTACTACGAGCGGACGGTGTTTCTGCGCTGCATTGCTAACTCCAACCCTCCCATCCGCTACAGCTGGTACCGCGGACGAGACGTCCTCTCGCAAGGCTCAGATAAAGGCGTGGAGATCTACGAGCCCTTCTTTACCCAGGTAAGAATCTAACCCTTGCTCAAAATACTGCTGTAATACTGTGTTTTTGGGGCACTAGCATTTTGGTAATGTATCTGCTAAATTAATCAAAGTAATGAATGCTAATCATGATACACTTCTATAGAAAATAAATACTTTTATTCAGCATGGATGCCTCGAAAAAAGTCACAATTGTGACAATTGTCTTAGAATTGCAATTATATTTCTAACAATTCTGACATTTTTCTTATAATTTCAAGTTTAAATCTCGCACTTCTGACTTTTTCTTAAAATTACAATTATATTTCTCGCAATTCTGACTTATTTCTTAGAATTGCACGTTTATTTCTCATAATTGTAACTTTTTTCTTAGAATTGCAATTTTATTTCTCGCCAATCTGATATTTTTCTTAGAATTGCAATTTTATTTCTTGCAATTCTGATATAATTCTTACAATTGCAATTTTATTTCTCGCAATTCTGATATTTTTCTTAGAATTGCAATTTTATTTCTTGCAATTCTGATATAATTCTTACAATTGCAATTTTATTTCTCGCAATTCTGATATTTTTCTTAGAATTGCAATTTTATTTCTTGCAATTCTGATATAATTCTTACAATTGCAATTTTATTTCTCGCAATTCTGATATTTTTCTTAGAATTGCAATTTTATTTCTCGCAGTTCTGACGTTTTCTTAGAATTGCTATATATATACATATATATGCCTAAATTAAAAATGCATTTAAATTGCATAAAATTTCAAATTAATTAATTACACAGTACATAAATTAATAAACTTATAAACTATATATAGTTATTTTCTTTTTCAGTTTTAGTTATTTTAGTACATGAAGTTAAACTAAATTAAAATGAGAAATGTAGTTGAAATATTTTTTTTAATATAATTTGTTTTATTTTAGTGTTTCTTTTATTTAAAGAAATGAAAATCCTATTTTTTTAGTGGTTTTAGTTTCATTTTAGTTAACCCTTTATTAACCCTGCTTGTCCAACTAAGAGATAATCACCATATTTACAATTAAACCATCATATTTGAAAATATAAAATTAATTACATTGATATCATATTTATAAGCCATATTTAGTTATCCTGGGGTCTCCTTCAAGCAGTGTAAAAAGCTTTCAGAATCTTTACCAAAAAAAATCTGTATTCTTAAAATGAACTTTTTTTTTAATGACAATGTATTTTTTTAACAACAAAATATGTATCGTGAAAAACAGAAATGCACTCTGCATAATTTATTATTAACTATTTGCATTTTATTTTATTTAAATACTCTGTTCGTTGTGAAAACATTTGCATTTATTCAGTTAAAAAGCACGAACATGATTAAAATATGGCTAGTCATTGGATAAGCAATATTCAGTTATGAAATTGGAAATTGGATTATTGATGATAAATATAGTTATTGTGTGTTTGAAACACATTCAGTTTATTAGCACTTTTACAGAAATCTGAGCCGTTTCATTGATGCATGACGGACAAATGTGCATCACATTAAGTTAATTCGTTTATAAAACTAATCCAAATGCGTGGACATTTTACATGCAATTCAAACACATCATAAATGTTGGCCTAAATGTTTAGTGCACTTATATATATATAAAATATATCATGTAAAAATATTATGTAAATAATTAAATATTATTATCAATAATATATAATATAAGAAATTACATCATATATAATATGAAAATATAATAAATAATTACATTGTTATTAATATGTAATATATAAAATATATAATATAAAAATATCAGAAAGGATTTAATTGTTAATAATAATATTTAAAATATATATAAAATGTTATATAAATAATTAAATGATTATTAATGATTATATACTATAAGAAATATGACCTATAAAACATAATATAAAAATAATAATATTTTTTATAATAAATAAATGTAATATGAAAATATTATCTATAAAGTAGATCATTTAAAAGTTAAAAAGTAAATTATTATTCATAAAATGTAATATGAAAATAATATTTGTGAAATATATCATATAAAAATATAATAATTATATTTACTATAAAATATTATGCATACAAATATATATTATAAACATATTGTATTTAAAATATATTATATAAAAAGATTGAATATATAGGATTGAAATGTATTTAAGGGAATGAAGACAGAAAGCATGTTTGCAGTCTGTGTTGTGGAGCACACATTTGCACACGGCTCTCTGTCTGTCGCTCTGAGCTCCAGGGGGAAACCAAGATCTTGAAGCTGAAGAACCTGAGACCCAAGGACTACGCCAACTACAGCTGCATCGCCTCCGTCAGGAACGTGTGCGGCCTCGCCGACCGCAGAGTCGTCTTCAGACTCACCAATAAAACAGGTGAGGCTCTCAAAGAGGCGCTTCATCATTCACTCGACCCGATGTTACAAGAAGCTCACTTTTCAGTTGAGATGGTTTTATTAGCCTGTTTTTACTCATATTGTTTGTCTTTTTATTTTTATTTCAGTTTTAGTTTTAGGAATTTTAATTACTTTTTTCAGTTTAGTCTTATTTTATTTCCAAGGCAACATTTAACTTTTTTTTTTTTAAACTTATTAACTGTTTTACCTTTAACTCTTTTTAAGTTTAAGCTTTTCATTTAATATTTTATTTTATTTTATTTTATTTTATTTAGTTTTATTTAGTTTTTGTTATTTTATCTCATTTTATTTTATTTTGTTTAGTTTTTATTTTATTTTATTTTATTTAGTTTT